ATGGTATGCACAACACCAACTTATGTTATTAACAAAATAAATTATTTGTAAATTGTACCTCTTGTCTTTTTTCTTTATGGGTGATTTGAGCAGATCATTCTCTTGCTGAAATAAGAAAGGAAATATATCATATTAATTGGCCAACATAAAATTAAGGACAAGAAGGTTGTATTACAATGTAATTAATATTTTGATTGAACGCAGTTTGCAAAAAATAACAGCATTTTAAATTCAATATATTTTTACCTTATTTCCCACCCAAACAATTTGTATTTCATCATCTTCATCATCAAAAACGATGTCAGTTGGAATAGTGTCCCTGATTTAATAACAAAGACATATTTCATATAATGTTCAAGACACGAGTTTCAAGGGCATGAYGCGAGTCCATCTATTTACTTACCTGGTTCTTTTTGGGGCTCTCAAATTGCCCCCCCTTGATTTCTTCCCACCCCCCCATATAAATAATGATCGGTCCCTAATGGTATTTTCACTGCATAAGTTCTCGATACTTACACATGTTTTAAAGGTTGGCTCATCAAGTGAGTCTTCATTATCACTGTTACTACAAATAGGAATAACTAAGAATGAATAAGTAAAGCGAGATCTAGAKTGAATTAAAGTGTTATGGCTTTCTTCATGTAGTTTCGAGATTTTCGCGCCAAAATGTTATGTTTTTGGTTATGCATTTTTGTCGGGAAATTTTGCAGAATATGCTTACCAAGGAGAGCCTTCTAAMGAAGAATCATCTATAGAGTAAGATTAAGACATTTTTAGTCTCAGCAGTAAGCTTTCAAAGCAACAATGGAGAATTCTAGCAACGACTTACCCGAGCTCGTGTATCTGGAAATGGCATCCATAATTGTATGGCAAAAACCGCTGACTATAATGTAAAGTCTTCCACAGATTACTGTGATGAAGTCGCTTTCGTCGCTACGTTCTGTAAACAACCACCGACTCACAACTGTCACCATCCAGCTTCAGCTAATTTTTCGTGTGATTTTTGCATTCCTATATTTAATTATTTGAACGCTAAAAAGTACGAGGAATCATTTATTTTAAATCATTTAAATCCAGCTCGTTACCCGAGTTCGTTCGTTACTTCCTTCTTTTATAATTTAAAAGCTATTGCGTAGAGTGCATTCAGTAACAGTACTAAACGTTAGCAATGCTATGAAACTTAATCTTAGGGGAAMAAATTGACGTCCCCACGTCCCTGTCCCTACGTCCCCGTGTCCCCTGTCCCCGCGTCCCTGTCCCAKTCCCCGTCCAGGCTTTAGCGGGATCCGTGCTGGAATCACTGAACGGTCTATATTATAGCTTCTACATCACCCAGCTGAGAGAAATCAAGTATAAATTATTAACTGCAAKCTCCCGATGTTTAGTTGTATTCATTTGTGATGGAGTCCAAATTAAAACAGACCGTTAAAAATGACTCCTCGACGRCATCGGTATATTTTAAGAACATGCATAATCTGAATGGACATCAAATGTGAGAATGCCGCCAATGTTATGCAAGGTATTGTTGAACAACTTGTGAATGTTTGAAAAGCTGTCATRATCGGATAGACATACTTCAGCGGGTAATGCAAGGGAATATAGATTTCAAGGTAAGAGGTTCGAATCTTCGTAGTTTACATGAAATTGAATTTATAGTCTATAAAAATGTATATCTTTATTCAATGATAGCAGGCAACTCTTTTTTTCTCCTTTGGGCTTCCTTTGCAACRGTCATAATGGCCGTTAGGGACTATTTCTCGCCCCCATTCTCCCTCTTTTGACTCCTCAAAAAGACAGGAGGCCCGTGATTCGTAGTGATACCTGCGGAGCAGGCTAATTCAATGAATTATCAAGAGCACTTCATCGGCACAAGKTAGAGTCGTTCTCATTAACCCGTGGAACACACCTTAGCCTTTTATTCTTTACTACGCTTTATTACACTTTCTCTGTTCTTTTATCCACGAGTAACAAAAATATTTGCATATGAATTTCTTCCTATTGTTATTTTATCCATGAAACTTCAACTCGGAGAGAAAGAACACAATACCCATTTAAATATAGAATTGCTACCAGGAAAATACTAATCTACTGGATCATTCGTTTTCATGAAAGCTCCTGACATTTAGAGAAACCGATAACAGAGAATACGGGAGAAWAGTTTTGGAGTTGCATGTTCATCCTTTAGCCGAAGACTCAAGCGCGTGGGCTRGGAAATTTTCCGTGCTCGGTGTTTGAGTTTTTATTGAAGGAGTTGTACAAGTGATTCCTATTTCTGGGAATTGCACAGCAGATATCATAATTGCATCTATTGAACACCAAATATTGCCATTGCTACCAAGAACCGTATTTCTAGTTGCYGACAACGCTAGCGTGCACAATGAGCAAAGACTMAGTGCAATACTCCAGTTTCGAATTCATAGCGCAAAACCGCTGCTTTRTTTGACAACAGATTCTCTGCGCAAAGACCTTACAAACACAAAAGAGAGCACGAGAAAATGTCGTTATTACAATCAATTTGAAAATTTGCATTTTCCCCGAGTTGAGACTAACCCTGTATTCCCATGAGACCTAAGGTATGAGCCTTCTGGGAATACAGGGTTAGCCTCAACTCGGGGAAAATGTAAATTGCTAGCGCTATTGTACAAGCAACATTTTCTCATGCTTTCTTTTGTGTTTGGTATGTTCTTTGCGTAAGAGAATCTGCTGTCAAATAAAATGGCGGTTATTCGCTTTGAATTCGAAACTGAAGTATTCTACGTCAAAGAAACACAACATTTGTTTAATTACCGGCGTATGCGTATGACCTGAATCTCATTGAAATGATGGGTATTTGGTCAAGCTAAGGCTATCGCACGTTCTACTCCTGGATTTATTGCTCCAATTCCCATGCTTGCTAKTGTAAATGCTTTTAAACAGAGATAAGCTCTCTAAAATTTCCAGAAATTCTTTAAACGTTCATGGAAAATCGCAGTGAAGTAGCTTAGGAACTAATAAATTTCAGAAATTGTAATTTTGCAGTTTCCTTAATAAATATGAATTTGAAATTTTATGTGGTGGACAGAGTATTTTTAAATACCAATAGCACTATTACACCCTCATACACTTTGTCTCTCCTTTACTATTACACTTTGTTCCACGGGTTAGAGTGATTTTCATCGAACTGTGAAATAGTTACTAAGCTAATAGACACTAGTAGACCCCAATAGTCGCTACTAGGGAAATATTTGTTTATTCAGTCAGTTATTTCTATGTTTCAAAGGAGTACGTGACTATGTAATCAGACAAAGTTAATTAAGTAAGGTTCAATCAATTTATTTATAACAAGAAACAGTAAAAGAATCACAAGATTTTTATTCCTTTATTCCAGAGTGATTACCAACGTACATTATCAGAAATGATACCGCCGCAATTTTTGCAGAAGCTCGGCATTGATGTTAGAATAACTAACGAACCACAGAATACGCATTCGGTTTGCATGTTTACACATAAATTTGACATCTGAAGAGAATGTGTATTCTCTTTTACACTATCTTGAAATTCATTCAAATTCGTCGAACTTCTTTCTGGCTTGTGAAACGATAACAAATTACCCTCAGGTCTGGCTCTTTCGTTCCCTTCTAGAGAATCTATTATAGCTCTCAAATCATTTATTTCTATGGGTATTTTAGCTAGCTCTCTCATTKCCATATGAGCTGATTTTGCCGGCTTTTCGTCATCCAATGATCTGGTCAGGTCAATCAATTAAACTAGCGTTCAATCCATCCGAGTTTGCCGGATCTTGTTGGCATGTAAACGTCTCGGGAACTWCTTTACTGGGTGTGTCCAAGATATTTTGTACCACCATCTCCAAGTTTCCATCTGCTTGTGCAAGTCGGGAGGCTAACTGGACTTCGTCGATAGTGGGGAGCAMTCTTTTTAGTTTSTTCAGCTTCTCGTTGAAGGTCTGCCGTGTGGATTGAGCCAAGGTGGCTKGAAAGGGAGTGGATGCTGCTGCGGCTGTAGTTTCTGTACATGTGGTTAAAGTACGTGATCGTTTAGGCCTTCTCTGATGAAGCTGGATGGCCGTTTTTAACTCGAAGATTGCGAAGCAATCGAAGAGTTATTGGAGGGGGACGAGTCTGTCACTCACTCAATCACTCACTCACTCACTCACTTTCCTGTAAACTTGAGCCTTCGTTACTTGTGTTCAGAATTATAATTTATTCTCTTTGTTCTCTATTAATTTACTCATTAAGCTACAGTTACCGGGTCCCCTGATCTAGTTTTGGTTGAATTTATTTATTTTTATTTATTTTATTTTTTACAAAGAAAGAAATCTAATTAAAGAAATGTCAGTTCCTCTGAGTCTTGCCGACTTCAGACCTCTGAATTAAGTCCCATATACACGAACAATTTTTATGTGACAATTTTTAATTGCTCATTCTCATCCTCATTCTTCTGAGGATGGCATAATGTAATGCTGAAACAGTGTTAAGATTAAAAAATATATCGTATTTTTTAAAGTTTTATTATCTCTAGTACTCTTACGAAACTATAGTATTTAAATTTGTTTTGTTTATTGACATATCCGCTGTGCAAAATCACAGTTGGCGCGAGTCTTGAACAATTATTTGCTGCATGCCCACACGGAAAAAAATTGTCACATATAGTTGTCACATAAAAATTGCTTGTGTAGACGGGGCTTTAAGGCCCGTTTACACTTGCAAATTTTGCAGCCCGATTGTCGCGCGCAATCGGCTATAGATTCGAACATGCTTGAAATTTAGCGGCATCGCCGCGACAATAGAGAGTTTAAGCATCACGTTAACGGCAAACGGCTAACGGCAGAACTGAACCGAATGTACTTAAGAATTTTGTGCCTGGTCGTATGCTTTTGGTAGTTATTGGAAAGAGCGGCCTTTCACGATTATGGCAAACTCAAAATAACCCACTCTCGCGTTGAAACTGCAACGTTAAACTCTAAAAAAGCAGGTCACGTGATCTTTTCTGACGTTTGCCGTGAACATCATGCTAAACCTCTCTAATCGCAGGGCTGTTTACACGTACGATTTGAGGTGCGCGAGAGCAAAGTGGTGATTGTCGCGCGACAATCGCGCTGCAAAAATTGCAAGTGTAAACGGGCCTTTGGAAATCGAAGACACGGCTTCCATTCGGCCACGCGGTTAGACTTGTCTTTCAAACTGCAGGTGCTCGTTCCTGGTTGTCAAAAATCAAAGTTAAAAATAATTAGATTGTAACGAAAAAGAAAACTGTATTCATAAAATCATGTACAATTCTATTTGAAAAATAATTATAATTTGATTCGACATACCGTCACAAAGTCACAAAGGTCGAAAAGCAAGCAAAGAAGACTGGACGATCCTCCAATTCGTTTCGAAAATGATTGTACGAAGGTGATGGCCTGTGCTTATCGAGAACCCAAGTTAATATTGAAATGAAACAATGAAGACTCTGTCGTAAAATTTTCCAGCTCTACGCAGCTCGCAATCAAAGAGACTGTAGTCTTCCTTGTACTCCTTTATACATCGACGTCCAAACACTTCTGAATTAAATATAAAACATGTGCTTTTGAAAGAATATGATAATCTGCAAAACATCTGTTGTCTATAGATACTTATGCAAAATTTCTTTGCGTACTTGCTTTGACATTTTCTTTGTTACCTAGGTTGATTACTAAAATGACCACACTTATGATATAACAAAAATGTACCAAAAACACAAATTTCTCTCAGACAGACTCAAATATTTTAAGAAATTGTCCGTTTTGCCTTGTTAAACCGCATACTATTTGACTGTTTCATAGTACATGTTAACTTGTTTTTTTTTAACAAATTTCTTGTTTGACACAAAAC